CCTCAGCAGTGTACTTCTGTCAGTCTGCCTGTTCTGTTCCCCACTCTGTCTCTGGCGAGTCCTTTCCCCCTGCATCTCTGGCCTGTACCTCTGCTCTTGTATGCAGAAATAAATAAATCTTAATAAAGAAGTTCACTTTGGCTGGAGGATATGATGTGTAAAAATAAATAGGGAAATTGGTTGGAAAGAGAGAGCTGGACCACACTAAGATGGTTTGACATAATTTTATGGGCAATTGGGAACCACTGAAGGTTTTTGAATGGTTTAATAATGTGATCATATAGCTGGGTGTATATTTTGTACTAGAGTAAAACTTTGATGTCTCTATTTCCATGCTCTCATATCTAATTTACAAACTACCCTTCTAATTCTACTTGCAGAATATATCCCAGTTTAAATATCTGCTGAGTCTCCATTGCCACTAGGCTCTCTTAAGCCACTGTCTCCTCTCAACTGTACAGCCACAGCAGATACCTTAGTGGTTAACTTCCACCGTTGCCCTAACAACCCATTCTGTACTGCAGAGTAGTCTTTTACAAGTACAAATAAAAATCTGTCATTGTCCTGGTTAAAACTCTCCATTGTCTTTTCCTCACATTTGAAATTCCAAACTCCTTGCTATATTCACAACACCTTCTGTAACCCTACATGGCCTGGTTGCTGCTTTCTGAACTCTTTCCTCTCTCTCACTTTGCTCTTGCCACATTCTAACCTTTTTATTTTCTGAACACCCAACCTCCTTCTCAACTTAGGATGTCTGCATCATCTCCCTAGAATGTTCTTTCCCTAGAACTTTACATGTCTAACTACTTACCAAAAGATGCCTTCTCAAGTCCTTGATATAATTAAGAAGTCTTCATGCCAATCATGCCCTCCATTTACCAGGCTTTATTTTCTAGACAGCACTTACTACTGTGTGGCTGGATTTACTTACTGATTTGTGAGCTTTTTTTTTTAATCTTCATTTTATTCACTGCTAGTGCATAAAAGAATCCAGTGCATAGTAGATATTTATTGAATTAGGAGATTTTAGTGATTAGAGCTTTGAAATTTACTGTAGTGTTTCCAGTAAAATGAAAGTATATTGACGGTCTTGTCAGTAGAAATAAAGGGAGTGATGGCTGACAAGTGCAAAGATAGTTATAATGTACAGAATTTGGCATGATTTGAAGTGTTGAATCTTTGGATAGGAAAGAGGTGGAAGGTTTTGAGCTTGGATTAGTTATAAGAAATCCAGGAGAAGTTCCAGATTTAATGTGGAAAGGAATGATTTTACAGGTGCTTAGTGTGAGAGCTGGTGGGGTGAGGTATGCAGCAGTGGTTGAAAGGTGGGTTTATCTAGTTTCTCATTCCTTGAGAGTCATTATAACAAAGCAATAAAGCACCATGGACTCAGATGAAGGGAGAAAGTAACATTCCCTATTCAGCTGTAACATGGTAATGGCAAGTCATTGTACCTCTCCAAGCCTCATGATAACAAAGCCCAATGATAATAAAATGCTACCCAACGTGGGGTACTCAATGACTGTGAATTCCACGTTTTCTTCTCCCTTCGATATAAAGCTAAGGATTAAAAAAGTAGCTCCACAGTTTCAATTTATATTGTTTTTCTTTGCAAAGCAATGCATTCGTGTGGCTTAAAAAGATGAAAAAATATACCCCAGGCTTATAATGAAAATGAGTAATTTTCTGTCCCACCCACCCTCAGTTTCCTCTTAAGGCTATTACTTTTTTTTTTAATATTTTATTTTATATGATTTTTACATCATTTTTCATTTACATACATACATTTTGCACTATGTATGCATTTTCATTTTGGTTATATTCCCCATACAATTGCACCCCCCCCTTATTTTGACACTAGTCCTTTCTCTCCCTGCCCCTCCCTGCCACCTCCCTACCCCCCCCCCCCCCCCGCCGCCGCTCCCAGTAGTGTGTCTCTGGTTTATAGTTGCTTGTTGATTTTGATTTTTACTTTGTATTAAGTATTCTTTTTCCTGGTCTCTTATTTAGGTTTTCTAAATTCCTGCTATGAGTGAGACCATTACTTTTAACTCTCTCTCTTTTTGCTCTCTTAGCTACTTCCTCTAGAACTTACATGTATGATTCAACAGAATATGCATCTTCTACTATTTCCTGATTTTCCAACTTCAGATATTATTTGATATCAAATTTAGATATTTTCATTTTCACACTGGGGAATGTGAGGATTTAATTTCCTTTTACTTCCAATCCCAAACTACATATATCTTCCTTGTTAATGCATTACATCTCTCTTTTTTAGCTCGTGATCTTTGTGAGTTTTCATCTTTCACTCCCTCTTTTGACATCTGAGCTATATTGTGATTCTATTTCCTTTCTTACACAAATTCTTAATTTTTCTGTAGTGAATGTCTACTTCATTGTTTTTTAGGGTTTTTTTGTACCAATATCTTCTTTCGTTCTCAAGCTTACTTCAAAATCTGAACATTTCCTCTTAATATTTCCAAATTCAACATATATTCTCTAAGTTTAATTTTTTTTTTTTTTTTGCCCTTGGAAATACCTTTCCAGATTCTTTTTTTTTTTTCCTTTCCAGATTCTTCTGACTTCCTGCTCCAATTTGTACTGTTGACCCTCTGAGCTTCCTGTGTTGCCTTGTATCATCCAGGAATCCTGTATTTTCTTTTGTTTTGTATCCTGTTTCCAGATCTTCCCCCCAACCCCATATTTTGCCAAGATTTTCCTACCAGCTTTCTGAGAAGTAGTGACTAAAGGGTAAATTTTTGAGATTTTGTAGAGCATTATTCTAACATTCATACTTGATTGACATTTTAGCCAGATATAGAATTCTAAGTTAGAAATAATTTTCCCTCAGCATTTTGAAGAGAGTGCCTCTTAACATCATAATTTTCAGTGTTATGTTGAGAAATCTGATGTTACTATGTTGCCTTGTTTTTCACGTGATCTTTTTTTTCCCACTGGGAAATTTTTATGCCTTTCTCACTGTCTTTATTATTTTGATATTTCACCATGATATATCTCCATGGTACTCTTTTTTTTATTTTTTCATGAATTGTGCTGGGAGGTTGATAAGCCTTTTTTGAGTTTGAACACTCATCCTTCAATTCTTGGAAATGTTTTTAACTTATTTTCTTTGAAATCTTATTTCTTTGTGTGATTACTATTATTCGGATATTGGACCTTCTGGTCTGTTCTGATTTTTTTCTTATATTTTATCTTTGTCCTTATAACATTTTTGTTGTCGTTAATGTTTCCTCTACTCAATGCCTAAGTTTTCCTGTGTTTATTGTTTTGCTTGTTTTGTTCTGTGTCTTTCCTAAAGGCCTGCCTGAAACATCTAATGAACCTAGGTTGTCTGTACTCTTTAATAGTTATGTACCAAGAAGCTGAACTGAAAAAAAAATCTGTGTATCAGTCATTCTTGGCATCTGAAGCCTGTACTAGAAGGCAAGGACAAGCAATAGTTTGACAATCTCTCAAGTAGGTCCTTATTCTTGTGCTGATTAAGCTGATTGAGTGGCTCAAAAGGAATTATCTAATTTCTTCCTAGAAGATATCAGTCTGGCTTTTTGATAAGCTGTGAGCCTCTAGGTGAAGGGAGTTGGGTACTTCACCAGTTAGCATAAAGACTTTGACTTCAGCTCCCTGATTTCAGTAAGGAGATGCTCTCCTGTACTGGGCTAATTTGATACCTCCAAGTCTCAAGTTTTCTGTTTCAGCCTCTCTAGACAGTGAATATTCTGGCTTCTAAAGAGTTGAGGAGGAGATTGAAAGCTGGAGCTGTAGATCAAGTGTTGACAAACTTGCTTTAAAGGAACAGCAAGTAACGATTTTAGATTTGGGGGCTACATCATGGTCCTTATCACAGATACTTATTTTTCTCTTCCTTTTTTTGAAAATAACCCTGTAAAATGTAAAGTAAATATTCTTAGCTTGTAGTTGTGAACTGGATAGGTCTAGAGGATATGCAGGATACTTTCAACCATCTTCATTTTAGTCCCACCTTGCATGCCTGCCTTAGAAGGAACTTGAAGCCGTCAACTTCTGACCCTTTGGGTTTTATGACAAACCTGGGTGGCTTCTTATAGGTGACTCCAAACCTCCACACCCGCCCCCACTCCATACCACCACCCTGTGGAAACAGGTTTCATCTTTCACAGATCTCTTGATGAGCAACTACTTCCCTCAGTTTTCTGGGATTTTGGGAAGCAGTGGAGATAAATGTATGTGTTTAATCTACTAAGTTTAACCAGAAGCTCCCCCCAAATCCAATTTGCTTGGTTTTTATTTTAGTACTTTCTTTGATAGTGCTTGGGTTAATTTTGCATTTGTTTTCCACGTGCTTCCTTGCTATGCCAGATGTTTGAAGAAGATGTCCTTGGGGAGGAAAAATGAGGGGTTTTAGACTGTAGTGTTCTTGAAATGCTCACAATAGCTCAGTGTGTGAGATTTCAAAGAGGCCTGGTTGTTTCTAACCACCAGACCCTGAGAAATACAGTTTCATCCTTATTTGTGTAAACCATCAGGAGCATTTTTAAATGTTTGTAATAAAGTTTGTGGCTTATTGTTTAAAATTGAATTTAAGGTTGTAAATCAAAGCTTTTGGTGGCATGGCCCTTACAGCAGTGAGAGCCTGGTAAGTGATCCCTAAGAGCTGATCAAAGGGAGTTGCTGAGCATTTTTTCCTGTATTTGTGTTTTGGTCCTTTAATCTGGTAGTGTTTCCAATTCTATTCTGAACACAGTAATACGTGCTCCACCCCCACTCAAGTCTTCTTGGCGGCATCTGACACTGTCTTTGCCAAATGGCCCCTATTTGGGCATACATCTTCCTTTGCTATCAATCCTATACCAGGTATGAACAATAGTGATTGTCAGCAAATGGCCATCTTTCAATATCTTATTTATACAACATTTTTTGTTCAAGTAATCAAATGAAAATTGAAACTTAAAAAAGTAAAATTCACCGAAAAATCACCCCTAGTGGTTTCTGCCTAGGTTCACCTTTCTTGGCCAGTGAAGACGGAGTGCTGGGAGGTGTGATTGTTCTCCGATCTTGCAGATGTTCTGCAGAGCCTGACTCCACCCAGAACAAGCAGACACTTCTTGGTAAGTTGGGTGTGTATGTTACGTGTTTGTCTTTCATATTTTCAAGACATGAAAGATTTATATCCTTAAGTTAATAAATGATGGGAAGGCAAGGATGATCTATTATATATAGTCATCTGTAGTCTACTACTCTTTTTTTTCCCCAAAGATTTATTTATACAAGAACGGAGGTATAGGCCAGAAGCACGGGAGGGTGAGAGAATTCACCAGAGAAAGAGCAGGGAGCAGAACAGGCAGAAAGACTTAAAACACTGCTGAGGGGAGCAGCGGGCAAGACAGGAGAGGTCTGCCATGCCATGTGGATAGCTCCCTGGCCGACTGGGAATCGAACCCGCATTGCAGAGGCTATGGACAGCTTCACAGCACTGCGCTCAACCTGCTGCACCACTGGGGAGGCCCTACTACTCTTTTTTGCATAGTAAACATGTAAAAAAGTAATATTCATTTCTGAGCATGTGATTTGAGTTATAATTTTCAAATTGGTTTACAGGACCTTTACCAAGATCTAATATTGAGACTATTGCACCATGATCCTTTACCAAAATCCAATATTGAGACTGTTGCACCATTATTTATCCCTTTCTTTAGTCCACAGAATCTTTGAAATCATCTATAACACATTAACAGTAACATAGAAAGAAGCTCCTTCCTATTTCCCCTCCCAGAAAGGAATCAGAACTCTCTGAAGAGCTACTGGCCTAGAAGACTTTCCTGACTTCGTTACTTATTAGCTCTAACACTTCCATGCACCATTCTTACTGTTCATGCCACTTCCTTATTTGTCAAATAAGCATGTCTGCCCTGACCTACTCATAGCACTATGGTAAGAAAGAGTCAAAAGAGCATTTTGCAAATCTGTAGATGTCCATCCAGGCGTATGGTTTTGTTTCTAGCCAAGTACACAAGCAAGGATGAAATCCAACCAATCCTCCATTTACCAAGGAATGAACATATGGGTTCTGCTTCTCCCACATGAGTGCCCGTTTCTAGTCCACTCACCCAGAGTGGATTTTCTAATCCATTCATCAAGAAGGGGCATTTTTAAATTCTGCATAAATATGCCATGTAATCTAGCAGGGGCCCTATATGCTATTTTTTATTATATTTGGGAAGGTGGGGTGGGGCTTTATAAACAACAGAAATTTATTTCTCAAAGTTCTGGAGGTTGAGAGGTCCAAGATCAGGGCATAAGCATACTCAGCATTCTGTAAGGGCCTGATTTCTGATTTACAGGCTGCTTCATTTTTGCAGTGTCCTCACAAGATGGAAGGGACAAATCAGATCTCAGAGGTCTCATGTGTATTTGTCAGGGATATTGGTCTATAGTTTTCTTTTTTGTGTGATGCCCTTGTCTGTTTTTGGTAACAGTGCACTGTTGACCTCTTAAATGTATTTGGAAGCATTTCCTCTTCCTCAATTTTTAGGAGACTTTGAGAAGAATATATGTTAGTTCCTCTTTGAAAGTTCAGTAGAACTTACTTGACACCATCTGGCAATGGGTTTTGTTTTTTGGGAGAGTTTTGATGACTGTTTCAATTTCATTTCTTGTAATTGATCTGTTCAGGTTTTCTATTTCTTCCTGGAAGAAAGAAATCTAATTGTCTTGGAAGATTGTATGCTTCTAAAAATTCATCGAATTCTTTCAACTTTTCCAAAGTGTTGGCATAAAGCTGTTCATAGTCTCTTATGACCTTCTGAATTTCTGAGTTGTCTGTCATAATTTCTCCTCTTTTACTTCTGATTCTATTTATTAGTGTTTTCTCCCATTTTTTCTTAGTGATTGTACCTAGGGGTTTGTCTGTTTTATTTGTTTTTTCAAAGAACCAGCTTTTGGAGTCATTGATCTTTTAAATTGACTTTTTATTTTACGTCTATTTAATTTATTTATACTCTTTTATTATTTTGTTCCTTCTGTTAGCCTTTGGTTTCATTTTTTTTTCTAGTTCATTAAGTAATAAGGTTGGATTATCTATTTGAACTCTTCCTTCTTAGTGTGTATTCTTTTTGCATCATGAATTTGCATTAATCCTTCCGTATTCCTTGAATAGGGTCTCTGTTCTGCCCTTTCTCCCCCTTTCCTTCTGAGATACACATTATTCTAATTTGGTTTTCATAGTGGTATTGGATATTTCTCAAATTGCCTCTTATTTTTGTTACCTCTCATTTCTCTCTCTTCTTCCACCAGTCTCTTTAATGCATTACTATATTTGAGGTTACTGATTAAATCTTACATTGATCTGTTTTACTTCCATAACTGACTCGAGTTATTTATTTATTTAAATTTTAAAATATAAGTCCTTTTTTTATACATTGTTATTTTTTGGACAATATATGATTTCTTCCCTCAGGTATTGTCACCATGGTTTCCTATCACCATATGACTTTGTGTTAGCCCCTCCTCCATTTTTACACCTACCCACCCCTCCTCACCTTCTCTATACCCCATATATAGGATCAGCTTTCAGGGTATGTTTTGTCTGACTCTCTAGAATTCTTGATGTCATTTATTATGCTCTTTACCTGCTGAATTTGTTATTTTTCATATTTAAAGATCAATTTCTGTCTTTTCATTGATTTTATTTCTGAGCTTTTGTTGTGTTTCTTTGATTAGCATTTCTAATTCTCTTATATTTCTTTGATTTGTCTGAGTTTTCTTCTACCTCTTTGAGTTTCTTTATTATAGCAGTTCTGAACCATATCTGATAAGGGAGATAGTCTTCGTTTTGTATTTGGATTTTGGAGAGAGTTGTTCTCACCATGAGATGTTATCTTCTTTTGAGGTCTTATGTTTCCATGTGTTACTTTTTTTAGTCTGCCCACTTTGCCACTTGAGGTGTCACTATTTTATTTTATTTTATTTTTAATATCTCAGGCAGTAACTTAAGGGGTTAAACTGTTCTAATTTCCCCACAAGTTGTGCTGGGCATTTGTTTGATTTTATTTTGTCCTTTGCTAGCTGTGTACATACTGGGATCTGTTTTGTAGTTACTGAATCAGCAGGGTAACACATTATTTCTTGATGCATCAACTTTATTTGAACCCTATCAATCATCCCTCACTCCTTCAACTATAAAATTTAGATAAATTCAGACACTCTTTTTCTGTTTTCTTCCTCAACTCAAAACTATCATCTCACTATTACTGTCATGGTTACTTACATTTGCATTTTAACCTATAATTATAGTTGTCTTTTATACTCTGGTTAGAGGTTGCTCAAACAGTTACATTTAGTAATCATCATTGACAGTATCAAGATTTTGTAAATATTGTTCACTGTAGATCCCAGTTTTGGAAGACTGGATCGATCAATAATGGAGAAAGGTTTTATCATAAACCTCTGCTTATAAAAGGAGAAAATTTCAAAGAGCAAGTTCAAGTGTAGTCTCCTGTGCTATTCTACCAGTACTCCAAAGCAGCCACAACTTAATTTGCTTCATGTTTGGACCATGATTTCTCTTTTATAGCTTTATAAAATTCTCATGAAAACATAATTTCATAAACTTGTGATTGCTTAATGCTTAGTAATATCTAGTAACCAGAAATGATGAGAAGTCTTTTATCCTATGCTTCCAAATAAAACAAACCAATTCCCTAAATTAAAAAAAGTAAGTTCTATACATTGTTCAACTGTTTGTACCAAGAGTAGTATAATCAAAACAGTATTTCACTTTAATTTTTCCTATTTAAACTCTCTTTTCTGAAAATAATAGTGTTTCTATTACACCACAAAAACAACTTCAATCAAATCTCACTGCCACTTGATGGCATTTACAATAATTCATTACTAAGTTTCTCCTCTTGACAAATACATCAGTTGCAAGAATTCCAATGAACTACTTCCAGGGTGGGATGACTCAAATACAGGGCACTGTCAAGATTTGTCCTTTGTTTGCTGATTGATGAATAGAGTTGGATAATCTCAGGTATGAAGGAACTTTCAAAGTCCCCTTCTGTGACATTGTTACAATTGCTTCATCCATAAATTGTTTTCAAGAAGTGGAACTTAATTCCCCTTTCCTTGAGACTCTTCCAATATGTAAGAATATGTTAAAGTGATAATGTATGACTTCTGAGGTTAGGTCACAAGAGGCATTGTGGCTTCTTTTTTTGCTCTCTCTTGGGTCATTCTCTCAGAAAGACCAACTACCATGTCATTAAGATACTTATACAACATTATGGAGAGGCCCACATGGCAAAAAAATTGACCTTCTTTCCAACAGCCAGTGAAGCACTGGGGCTTCCTGCCAATAGTCTCAGATTTGAGTGAGCCATCATATGACTGCAGCCCTAGGCAAATTTCTTGACTGAAATCTCATGAGAGGGCAGTAACCACCCAATAATGCCACACCTCAATTCCTCAACCACAAAAACTAAGATAATATATGTCTTTAGTTTTAAACTACTACATTTTTTGAATAAATTATGCAACAATACATAACTAATAAACCTCTAAATCCTCTTACAGCCAAATGACTCTCTAATTTGTCCCAGAAACTACAATGACAAATCAAGGGGTTCTGCTGCATCTTTAGGTAGCTCAGACAATTAGAATTCAGTTTGCATCTGTGGTCCTGGTTCTTCTCCTTGGGATATTCTGGGACAAATATGATCACTGCTGTTCTACTCTGAAGTCCCTTATAACATTTTATCCAGGTTGCCTCCTTAGCTTCCCCAACTCTATTCATCTCCTACTTCCACACTTCCAACAGACTTCTTTCTTTAAACATAACTATGGCTGACCCAGAGAACCTAGCTATGGGTTCAACAACAGGGGTGGTCAGAAGAGAAGTAGACTGTCATGAAGCAGAAATGACAAAAATGAGAACTGACTTAATTGGACACAGAATTCCACAATCCGAGGATCAGAGAGATAGTGGTCAAAACAAGAGCTACATTAGTATAGGGGTCTACCTGGTAGTGTAAGGGGTTACGATGTAGTACTATAAAGCTATCCGCAGCTACTGGAGCACGAGTTAATCCCCGGCCAGAGAGGTGGCCCA